TATGTGTTTTGACTTGCATACAACTATATTTATGCCTGATTTTTAATAAAAACTAACGGCTTACCACATATATACTGACATGAAGTAACGATTCAGCTGTTTTCAAGCTGCATCCTGGATTCACAGTTAGATTGAACCGAAAATAATATTAACACATTCTACCTTAAACATTCAATGACATCGATCCTTTGTCGGGCACCAAATCATTCCACAAATGTATTAGTGTGATGAAACCTGGTAGCCTTTAGCGTTTAGCCAAGCCTTGTTTGTTTCCTTGATTGGGGTTTTAGCGGTGCACTGAAAGATATTACCTTCAACAACACTGAAATAGGCCTAGCAGTTGATCCTTGGTGTGCCAGCACCAAATCAGTCCACAAATGAATGTATCAGTGTCCAATGAAACCATCCTTCAATGTTTAGCTACGTCTTTCTTCAGTTGTTTCCTTGTTGGGGCGGTTTTATCGGTGCAACGATATACTCTTATCAGCTTATATAAGCCTAGCATGCAGTTGCATGTCTTCAGCTCGGCAAAACGAGAGAATTGTGTGAGTGCGTGCAGATTCTGCAGATTAATACCGGACTGTGCTGATATTATTATGAGGTCGCTGTTGTCTTCTTTCGCTGCAGGTCCCTTGGGTTAATTTTAGCTTTGTACAACGTTAAAAAGCTGTTCACGTCGGTGGGGTGCAAATCTATAAACTTGATTTTGTTAACAACGAGAAGAATGAAAGGATTAAAGACACCATCGCTCTTCTTTAAATCCTTTCCATGATTCGCCGCCACACACAACGAACTTAATTAGCAGATTTATCTTATCTCAGGTTTAATTCATTCCAAGTGACTGAAAAAGTGTCTTGTAGTTTGGATGATAAATATAACAATTTGATTGCAAGACTACCGAGGATAAGAAGGGAAAGACTGCAAATTGAGGAAACATAGATGAGTACTGACCTAATGTAAAGAAAGTAAGCCTTTTTTCCAACTTTGTACAGGCTCAGAATCACAAAAAACAAAAGTAAATGTTCTAGTAAATTACAGGCACCTCCGAGACAGTGAGCTTTTATCAGAGACCAAGCGTAAAGGGAACAAAGTTACTTGTACACATTAACTAAAAGTAACCCAGTTATTAACTCGTAGCGAACTAAGCTCTGAAGATCGAATTAACCTAAATGCTTTTCATGATTGATAAAACCAGACGAAAGTTCAGTTGAAACCCTACAACAAACTAAAGTTTTGTTCGTTTTTACACTTATTCAATTATTTAGGGCAGATCTTTTTTCCAAGTCAAAAACTAGAAACTCTGACTGACGATTTATTTTGTGAATTTATCAGATTTCAACTGAATACATAGGGTACCGCTCAAAACGGCGCTGGGCTGTTAGTGTAGTCGAAGTTGCCGTTTAAAATACACATTCAGTTAAGCTCATTGTCAAATTCAAGCTGAAAAGGCCTGTAATTGATTTTTTTTATGTGTGGATACATAGATAGAATGTTATATATACCCTTTAATTAACTAACGGATAACTGTAAATTGCATAAATCTCCAATGCAAACGATCGCGATCTGGCCAGCAGATTTTCATCTCAAGGCCAAAAAGAGCTGAATAGCAGCTTTTCAAGGACACACATGAATGTTTTTAGTTGAACAGGAACGAAAACTGAAATTCCTGTCCTTGGTCTCTCTCACTGGGTCAATTCAGGGTGCACCTTTAGTTAACTCACAATGCTAAAGCATTTAGTTTATGAGTATACTACTAAATACCAATCGTTCACATCAGTTCTGTGCACAAAAATTCAATAAAAACCAATGAAATTTCATTTGCACTGCCAACAACAAACAAATTGAATAATTTCCACACTCAACCTAGCTTGCTTTTAATATATTTTTTTATGATAGTTTTCGGGAGGGTTTTGGACAGGTAGCTCCTAATAAAGGGTAACACATGTTACAAAAGTCGATTTTATCAGATTAGAAATAAGTACTCATCTCACCCCCATGACATGACTATGCAGTAAAGTAAATCTAGTAGCCACCTTGTACCCCTAAAAAATGAAATGAAACCTTGCTCTCCAGGTTAAGATACTTGAATCAGAGACTGGGGTTTAAAACAACTGCTGAGATTGTATGTACTCGAGAAGATGCTGCGCCTACTATGTATCGTTCACGCTAGCAAGTTTTTGCTGGCAAAGAAACCTTCATTTTCCAGTTCAGTAAGAATAAAGGAAACTTGAAGAAAACTTGCAAGTGCCACTAATTTAGGGTGCAGGCAATCAATGTTCAACTCTGTATATGCTACACAATGCATGTGCTATTCAAGTGGTATTTATATTGCCTGAGTATTTGAGACGGAATCCACTAGGAAACTGAGTAATTTTAATTTTCAGTGGACAAAAACCTTGTACCAGAATAACTTAAAGAATATTGCATTCTTTTTTACATGTAATTTGTCATCTGTAATAACACCAAAGAAAATTTCTCATGGGAGTCCGAGAAAATGAATGTCAAATTTCACGAGGTTTGTGAAAACATAGGTAAAATTCTAAAAATTTCATGCATAAGATGCCATTTTGTGAAATTTGACTTTTATTTTCTCGGGCTCTCATGAGAAATTTAGTTTGTTGTTATTCTGACTAATTACATCTTTAGCCCTTGAAAAATGTAAAAAAGTATTCAATATGCTTTAAATTATTCTGATACAAGGTTTTTGTCCATTGAAAATTAAAATTACTCAATTTCCTGATGGATTCCATCTTAACTCTGTCCCTATATTCCAATGTCCTGTGTAGCTTCTGACTCTTCCATACCAGGGATCTGAAATCATTCAAGTACATTACCCCTCTTTTAGTAGTACTCGCTTCGGATGGTGTCATTTGTTTTTGTTTTGTTTTTTTTAGCATTTTAGACAATATTTGAGATTTCTTCGAAAGATTTTGTTTTTGATAATCTCTGGAGCTACGTTAATAAGGTTTCTCATTCAATAAGTTACTGAATTGCCAAACTTGATATGTCAAACATTCTCACAGTCATAGCAAGAATCCTTACCCATGATTAATAATATCGTCTTTTGTTTCTTATTAATCACTCATGATACCGAACCTCCAAATCATAAATTGACGACTGTGTTCTTTTCGTAAGTTTCTTTGGCTGCCATAGAAAAAATCAAATTGTGTCAGATTTTTTACAGCGTAATTAAAAACAAGTTTGAGGGTTGATCGGTGAAATGAGCTTGCATCATCCATCTTGTGCTGTGCTTTTTAGCAAACTTTTTGGATACTTTTCTTTACACGTATCAGACGTCAAACGCTTAATGGGGTTATAACTTTTTTATTGTCCGAAAGCACTTTATATGCATCTCAGCTTAACCCGAATCTTAAATAGCACACCCATCTATGAGCAATTAGAAAACTAGGGATTTATTTACTAACGATCGATGCACAAACATGAACTGAAAAAGACACGATCCTCTAGAGCAAAGCTACGCTTCTAAGATTGATTTAACATTGATTTAAAATCTAAGGCCAGCGTGTTAGGAAACTGCAACACCGCAATTGAGTAAGCGCGTTGAAAGGAATCTCGATCATATTTTCAAGAAAGGATTAAGCTCCAAAATGATTAAAAATGCAACATGTTTTCTTCACAGTTGCTTGCTTTTTATCAGTCTAGGCCAAGGTGCAATCATTTCGTGCAAAATAAATATTTTTAATGTAAGGCATTTGTTTTGACAAAGATATTGGACCTAGATTAGTTGAGTGTCATCACAGAACTTAAAGTCGATCGTAAGACAAAAACTGAGCGATTTCGGGAACATGTTTGGTTCATCGATCAAGTTATAATAGAAAAAACACGGTGCGAATTCCGGCCTTGTTAATCTTGTAAAAATAATAATAATAAAAAATCCCACAAACACATCCAAGAAAAATGCTCTGAAAGAAACAAATGAAAAAGAACGCACGCATCGGAAAGAAAATTTCAGTCGCGTGCACGCGTGGCCGACACGACGCGACCGCGCGTGTTAATACAAAACACAAACCTTGATTATTGACTTTTCGTCGCTCTTGGGAACCAATGCTTATCGTCTTTTCTTTGTCAAGGTCGGACACCACCGTCACGCAATGAATTTCTTGTCTATAGTAGAGCTAGAAATTGCTCAATTGATACCAAATCATGTCTGCCTAAGCCTTAGCAATGCCTTCTGGCCGTCGGCAAATACAACATTGTGAAGGGAGCCGTCGTAATTCTGTATATTTAATCCAGTATCCAGCGTGCATAGCACTAAGACCACTAAAATAATTTCCGTGTGTTTTCTGTGGGAGATAAACTTCTGGTATTCCTGGAGGGCGGTCTCTCTGATTGAACGCAAAGCTCATAGCGAGGTGGCTCAGTTGGTCGTCGAAAAACTGGCCAAATTGAAAAACAAGAGCGCTGAAAGTAAATTTTTCAAATCCTTAAATATGTTTTGAAACGTCCCTACCCGTTACTAGCTACACCCCAAGCGCTTCAGACAAGTTTGACACTAATCTGTTGTTTTCGCCGCCCAGGTCTTTGACACCCACAACAAACCTTGTGGCTACAACCCCCATTAGGAAATATCTCGCTTTTCACCTACAATATTACTATGGCCGCTCGGGAGCTCAGGGGCCAGTAGGAAGAAGAGTAATTTTGGAAGACCCAGATGTTCTCATCGGTTTCAACCTCTCTTGTGATGGCTTGCTGTGCCCAAAATTGTTTGAATACAATTTTTATTGAAACAGCCGCAAAGATTGAAAGCGCGCTGTGGGGTGCTCTGACGTTGGGGGCAAAAATACTACGTGATGAATGAGACACCTAGAGAGGAGCCACAGAGCATGCGCGCACTTACTGTTGTAACGTACAAGCCGGACGCAAATGACAACATATCAAAACCGTATCGCGCGGCTCAGGGACAGATGTGTTGGTTCCGTCTTTTGGAAAAAACGTCTCCGTTTTGAGAACAACTGGATTTTTTCGTTTCATTTCTCGAGATGGGAAGCGAGGAGTTAAGCTCTTTTCGCCCGTCCTTTGTAGTCAAAGCGGAGCCGCTTGATAACTCACAATCGTTTGATTATACCAGTCTATCTGACGCGGAGTCTACGGTCGTGTTTCGAAATTACTACGAGGTGCGCACCGATAGCGGGCACATTATGGAGAGAGCTAGCTCTGTGGAGTCGCTACAAAGTAGAAGCGGAAGCGAAAACGATTTTACCACACGAACGGACATCAGCGAACGTTCAAACCCGCGTGAAGAGATGAAGAGCGAATACTTTTCGTTCCCGGCTTATCGGGCCGATTGGAAAACAAGCGCGTCTGGCCAGGACGAGGAGGATTCGGAGGAGGGGGAAAATGAAGACGAGGGAATTGAAGAAAATCGGGAGAGCAGTGCGTCAGAAGACTTAGGAACATCGACACCTACTAGAGTCCCTCTTGAAGCCCACTCTGTGGGATCTACGCCTCGCGATCAACAGAACTCACTGAGCGGGAGTCCCGTGAATCGAGGGAGACAGGACATTGTTATTCCCGGAATACCCTCAAATACACAGAACGGAATAAACATAGTTTTTCATAAGCATTGCAAGCTTAATATGGACACATCTGGGAAATTTTATGGCAGAGAAGGCTATTCAAGCGAGGGATGTCTTACACGCGTGGAAAGATTCACGCCTGAATTGCCCCCGTCTTTCGTGTACTCCACGAGAAGAGAGCCTAAGATTACGAGTGGTATTTGCGGCTCGCGGGAAGCCGAAGACTCACACTTACCGGAATATGAAGAAAAAAGCCCACCGGCGCGTTCGACCGTGTTAATATGCCAGTGGATCCAGTATGAGAAAATGATGAATCATGTTTGCGGGTTGGGGTTTTATAAAATCGAGGATCTTGTAACACATATCACGGAAGTTCACCTTGTGTCTGCCACACCCGTCGGTTTCGTATGTTGTTGGAAAGAATGCATGAGAAATGGAATGCCATTTAAAGCAAAGTACAAACTCATCAACCACATTAGAGTCCATACGGGGGAGAAGCCTTTTACCTGCAATCAGCCTGGGTGTAGAAAGAGCTTTGCGCGTGCTGAGAACTTAAAAATACACGTTCGCACGCACACCGGAGAGAGACCTTTCGCATGCGAGTTTAAAGGCTGTGATAAGAGATTCGCGAACTCCAGTGATCGCAGAAAGCACATTCACGTTCACACTCTGGAAAAGCCATACCGCTGTAAATATATTGGCTGCGATAAGAGCTATACACATCCGAGCTCCTTGAGAAAACATATGAAAGTCCATGGCCTACGGTCTGAAGAACATTTTAAAGTTGTTCAAAGCCTTGCCTACCCTCATAATAGGATCCCCGCGGATCGTAGATTTGATGGGGACTCTGTTGGCAGAATCGGACTTACTTTAGGCAGCCCTCCAGGAATTTTTCAACAGAGAACCGACATATAAATTCTCATGATGTCGAAGAAATCATTCTTTAAACGTCATTACTTAAAACTAAACAAAGACCTCTAAAAGAAACTGTGCTTTTCTGATTGAGAAAAGAAACGAATCATAACTTGGCAAAAGAAATTTTTACTAAGACATTAAATTCATCAATTGCAAAGGAGGAAATTATTTCCTTGATGATAAAAATTCAAAACAATAGGAATGTATTTACCTTTGTAGCAGAATCTAAACGCTTACGATCGTTTGTTTTGAAGAGTTTATAAGGGTGTTCGTCCCACAAATTATGAAATGTTTAAGAGATCGTTATAGTTTTTACCTTGAAATGACAGTATTCACTTTTAGATATTCTTTGAGGATGTTGCTGTTGACCAAACTGCTTAAAGTAGCCTGTGTTCATCGGTTCATTTTTTTTTGTTGGGTTTAAAATCGAACTTGAATTTTGTTGGCTGATGGTCACCCGACACGTGCTTAATTTCATACCCGTTACAAAATTTACAAGGATGCCACCATCATGCGTCTAACGCATTAATTGTTCCGTTCTTATTTCATTTATCCATGTATTTCAGCATAAAAGTTAAAGAGCCTTTGGCTGCAAGCACTGTTTTTTTTTTTTACATAAAACTCAGGAGAAAATTACCTCTACAGAAGTATAATCGTTATCAAGACCAAGTTCAGCTCAAAAACGAGAAAAAAAAAAAAAAACGCCCATCATTTCCTCCCTCACCAAATAAAAATTTTTGCCTATAAGAAAAATTTTATTTTTTTATTTTTAATTTTTATTGTTTTTTGAATTTTTGAATACAGAAAGTTTATATTTTTTTTTTTAGATCAATAAATTATTTATATTTTTTAGTATTTTTTTTTTCTTTCTCTTTATAATTTTTTTTTGTTTTTTCTTTTTTTTGTTTTTATTTTTTTTTTTTTTTTTTTTTTTTTTTTTTTTCCTTTTTTTCTAGCATAAAAGTTTTATAGCTTTTGGCTGCAAGCACTTTTTTTTTTTTTTTTACATAAAACTCAGAAGAAAATTACCTCTACAGAATTATAATCTTTATCAAGACAAAGTTCAGCTCAAAAACGAGAAAAAAAAAAAAAAACGCCCATCACTTCCTACCTCATCCAAGTCAGAGTCTTGCCTCGCAGATAGTATTTAGTTTTTGATGTTTAATTATGATCGCGTGTCGAAGTTTTCAGGACAGCAAGATTATACTTTGCTTTGCTGAGACAAGAAAATATTCAACATATTGATGTTTTAAAGTTTCCTTGCGGCTTAAATACTCACTGAATTGATTTTGTGGCAGCGTTATCTCACCAAGACTTTTCAGTTTTCGCAATAAACTCGACAGGTCGATGCCGGTAATGTGCCTCGTCAAAAAAAGCTGGAAGGTTTTAAGCCCTTCTCGAGAAATGAAAGAGACATTTACTGAATTTCATCGGTCTTTAAGGGTACAGTGCTATCATTTTCTGGGCGTGCATGCATTTTTAGCTTATGGACAATCTAAACAATCAGATTTACTCTAGAAGTTCGCTTTTGCAGTTCAAGCTCGGTAGAGTGATTGATTCTTTTGTCACGACACAGGAGAGTCAAGAGGAGTGGAGGGAACAGATGTCACTATTATAAATATATATTCTGAAGGAATTAACAACAATATCAAAGCCTCGACTAGTATAACTTGTGTTATCACAAACACTTGTTACTCGTTATCACTCGTTTGATCAGCCTTGGCCATTTTAAAGCATAGGGTTTGTTGATAAATTTTGGCGTTTCTCGAAATAAAGAAGTTTTTATACACTGTTTTTATTTTATGAGAGACTATAAGCTTTGATAAAAGCTCTGCTTTGGCTTGAATGGTTTGTGGCAGGTTTAAATTTTATGAGAAAAGTGAATGAAAAATGAATGTCCGGTCTCCTAAAGACAGCAGCACTTCGCTAAATCCCTATTTCAAGTCAGATCTGCTGAAACAGAATAGAGAACATTTATTTCGTAGTCAAAAAGAGTTCGTTGGATCTGCTCGCGCGACGCAGCCGCGTGTCTCGCGAGATTAAGTCACGCACACACGCAAAACACTTCACCAATGGGGGTAAAATTTATGGGAATATAATACGATATCGCTTCCGGGCTTTGCCGCCCACCTTTAACTCGACGGGCAGCCATTATATTTGGCAAGGAACAGAGGTTTGGGGATAAATCTCTTGACGGCAGGACACAGCGAAAGCCTTTGAGCCCAAAATTTGCCTCAATGCGGCAGCATAACCCCATGGAAGCGCTAAGGATGACTAAAAAATCTTGTCTCCCGCTCCGAGAAATATTGCGTTTTGTTTACAGCCTGTCTTGAGAATAAATTAGCGCCCCGGGAGGCAAACTGTCAACTGCTGCGCTTTCAGTCAACACTGTGTTATTAATTTGGTGGGAGGTGTTGGCCTTGAGCCAATCAGATTGTTGCATTTTGAGCCTTCGGAAGTGGTCTTTGCTATCTTCTTACGTATAAGAAAACAAACGCATTTTCCCGCTACTTGGGTCCGCTGTTACACATATATCAAATGTGACACGTATAATTTTACGGCTCGGACAAGTGAAATTACTTCAAGAAATGAAAAACGTCCAAATATTGCAAATTTTCTAATTTCCTGACATTACCCGACCACCTGGGACGAAGCACGCACAGAATTCATTGTCAGTTCTCTTTTCACAAGTTCAGATTCTGAAGACAAGCTAAGGCTTTTGTAACCTGCTGAGCATTTCTTCTACTTTCTGCTCTCTTATAGTGAGAGATTTCCTTCTTACACGTGTTGTTTTTCGATAAAGGTTCAATTCTACAGCTCAGTTTTGCGCTGAACGACGAAGAAGAAAAACAAAGTATTATCCAGACTTCCCAAAATTCCCAACCATCCTGTTCATTCGGATTCTTTGTAATATTTTGACTGTGGCAGAAGAAACCATTTTCTTCGAATGCGCTTGTTAATTTTCCTTTAAATAAGTCTTGCAAAGCCTTGGAAATTATTCATTATTAAAAACCTTCAGAAAATAAATCATGAGTAACTGAATAAACTGGGCGTACCGCGGCGCAAACGAAGCGTAAATTAAAAGATATATTACTGAAGCCAGTTATCTTCCGTACTTCAAAATCTCAAGTGTTTTTTTCAGTTTATTGCCATAATAGTATAACATATTTGGAAAATAAAGATGTCGCGTGATACAAGTAGTTAAAAACCTCGATTGCCCCTTACTGGGGCAAAGTTATTGTTGACACCGAGTTATCGTTTTTTTCTCTAAAGAGAATAACTTATCGCTAATTTGTGTCTATTATCTTTCGTGCAATACTTGTTTATAACGCCTTTTAAGTTGCCGTCAATGTGATGTATTTTTGACATAAATTTTCGGTAGTCAGTTGACCAATAAACCTTTTCTCAGTTGCTCGAGCATGAAAATGGTTGGCTCATTATATTACAACGTTTAATCAAGTAAGCTGTCAGTTTACGGCAAGATGTTTTATATTATAAATACATACTGTAACACGAGTGTAACAGAGGCATTATTACACATCACAGCCTAGAATTTGAAGCTCGTTTGGCAGTTTTCGATTACGCCCCCACTCTAAGTTGAGCGCCTGCTCTGAGTTGTGAATCCACGGGGGCGGAAACTCGGGAACTCTGTCATCTACACGTGTTACTACATAATTAACTCATCTAAGAGGGAGGTTTCTTTTCTATATATGCATGGCTGAAATAAACCGGTTTCTGTTCAGCTTATAAGGTATATGATTTTCGTAGCTGATCGGTAGCAACCTCAGTTTGGGGCGACCCCTTTCGAGAGACTGTTAACATGATAGGTTACTATACGGGTAGTTACAGAAATTAAAAAGAAAAGTGAATGCATATATCAGAAAAGTATTTCACGAACCCGTCCTTTACAACCCTCAAAAATTCGCGCCTCAAAATTCTCATGGCTTTAAGGACCAGAGAGAGTTAGTATCTCCACGTCCAAGAGACGTAAAAACACAGTCGATTGGTTAGTTACACGTGAATATCAATAAGCCAGGTTTGCACGCGTATGTGAAAGTCCCAAAAACCCCATCAGTGTCTGAGAGCCAGTACAAATAGTCTCTCTTGTCTTACTTAAATTTCAACGAAGAGGATGTGGAAGATGCTCTCTATAGTCGGATAAAATTTACACTACACTCTTTTTTTTTATAAGAATGTTGTTTTTCCGGCCCAGGCTGAATATTCTTATTTTTCTGCCGATTTTAGGCTGAAAATATTCTTGTATTATTCTTAAATTATAGCTTATGACATTTCCGTTTTAGAATTTATTGGGGTATTAATTACAAGTGTTTGGTGTCGACGTAATTGCCTAGTGCTGTTTTTGTTTTCGCTAGGAAAAAAGGAAAGAATTTGTCATAATACCTTTTTGCGGTTTAGTTTATGTCTTTTGCGTTGAATACTGTACATGTGTATTACATGTACCGTTCATCGAACTGTCATTAGCGTTGAACATTTTGCTATAGCTACATGTAGTGCAGGGTTTTTTCGTTTTGTTGGCTAGTTTCGCCGTTGAGAAAGGAATAATTTTATACGGTTAAGTTAAAAACATACAATTGTATTGTATTTACAGATGTTTGAACACAAAATTATATCTATCCTTTTCAAAATCTCAGCCTCGGCTTTATTCTTAAAATATTCTTAAAATTTCTCAAATTTCAGCCTCGATATTCTTATAAAAAATATTCTTATAAAAAAAAAAGAGTGTAGCTGAAAGCGGGAGCCGCCTACTGAAAGAAGTCATCACGTGGCACAATGTCCTCGCCGTCAGGCACGGTTTATAGTCTCGAAAGTTTATAGGCATACGGACAATTCTACTGGACAAATGCTCTTACAATTCGGTCCTTGAAAAGCCCTTATGTAGCTCTTTTTTCTGTAACGCGAGACACGCAAATAGCCACGCGCGTGATTGATGGCGCGAGACGGGATAGAGAGACTGCTCGCAGTCTACGCCCATTCATGTT